AAGGCTTTTCTAAATAGAAAAAAAGGTGAAATGGGGGTATGCCAAGGAGATAAGAAGGTGGGGGAATATTTCAGAAGGCCACAATAGCATTTATAAAAGCAGGGCAATGGAAATTTTTAAAAATAGTAAATAAGAAAAAGCAATGTAAAATAAAAAGTGGAGCAATGAAATATAGCTTGGTGGATTTAGGGAACTACCTGTAACTTCATATTGCTGGAAGGGTAAGGAAGGTATAAAGTGGATAATGATATAAAATGAGGTAAAAACATCAGAAATGGATCATGAAGAGCTTCATATATATCAGAACCACCCAATTGAAAAATGTAGGTTTCCAGGTCTCTCTCAGAGGTCTTGACTTGCTAGGTTTGATATGATGCATAGGACTCTGCACTTTATAACTCTAGAGGTGACTCTCACACTTTGAGAAAACCTGTTGGAAATGGGGAGCCACTGAAAAATGTAAAACTAAATTAGAAGGTAACATGGTTATATTTGTGTTGTATGGCGACAACTTTGACCAGAGTTATAGAGCGTGGATTGAAGGAGGCAGAGATAAAGAGACCAATTCAGGAAATAGCAATCCCATTGAAAAGGAATGAAGACCTGAACTGAGGCAGAGCAAAGAGACTAAGGAATAGAGAAAGATAAAGGCTGGCATGGGGAAGCTTTTAAAAATCAAGTATTAGCCAGGCACGGTGGCACATGCTTAAAATCCCGGTGGCTTGAGAGGCTGAGGCAGGAGGATCTCGAGTTCAAAGCCAGCCTCAGCAACTTAGTGAGGCCCTAAGCAACTCAGCAAGACCCTGTCTCTAAATAAAATATAAAAAAGGGCTGGGAACATGGCTCAGTGGTTAAGTGCTCCTGGGTTCAATCCCCAGTGCCCCTCCCCCAAAGAATCAAGTATTAATGATTGAGTGGATATGGGAGGAGATGACTGTTGAAGAAGATAATTCAGGTTTTAAGCTTGTTTGATTGAAGTCCCAAACAAGATAGGATAATATTAATAACAATAACTAACACATTGAACTACATGCTAGTCACTACCTTACATGCATTTTCTCATGTCTCCTTACAACAATATTAGGAAATAGGTACTTTTCTGCAAGTACAAAGAGGTTAAATGACTTATTTGAGTTTAGTAAGTGGCCAAGTTGAACATCAAACCAAGACAGTCTGATTCTTCCAACTGGATACTTAACTATTACATTATACTACCTCAATAAACAGGAAAAAGGTGGTGTGCAGCAAAGGTAATACCCAGGGAAATTGCACATCCAGATTTGAAGATGGGAGTAGAAGGTTAAACTGGAGAAAGAGATGTGTTGCCAGTATATCAAATAGTTGTGCACACCACGGAAATAGTAAGTTACTTAGGGAAAAAATAAAGACTGAGGAGAAAAAGAAAGTAGAGCCCAGAATCCCAAGAAGCCCCAATTTGTAATGGGAAAGTGAAAGAAGAGGTTCCAGTCAGATCAGCTGAAAATTGAAACAAAGAGGGGTAACCAGATGATCAAAATAGGAAATGGTCATGGAATCCCAAGGGCGCAAAAAAAATTGAAAAAAGAAAAGAGCTCTCAGCAATGGCATGCCCTGTAAAAGGGCCAATCTAGGTAGGTAATAAAATGTCAGTCATTTTTGGCAATCAAGGTGTTCATGAATGACCTTGATCAGGAACTTAGAGAGTAATGAGAGTTCACCCCAAAATATTGAGGGGTGAGTTTGAGTAAGAAAGAAATAAAAAGGAGAGTAGCCAAGGGAAAGTAAAAGTTGAAGGATAGCTTGTTGGTTTGTTTTATTTTAAAATATTAAGAACATTTACAGGCAGAAAGGAAAATACCAAAAATATGAGAAGAATAAGCAATGGAGCTAAGCCTCAGAGCAGGCAAGAGAGAACAGGGTGAGCGGCTGTCAGAGAAAAACCACCTCCTGTGAAACCAGAGTGAAAGAAATCAGGGAAGGGTGTGACAGGCGTGTGGGGGTGCCTGCTAGCAAAGTAGTGAAATGACTGGCTGATGGCCTCTATTTCTCTGTAAAACAGCTCTTGCCTTCTCATGTCACTTGTTCACAAACCTCTTTGGATCCTTGGATCTTGCCTTCTGTAGTGAGTTTCTTAGAAATTCATCTTGTCCCATCCAGATTCCCTTAAAAGAACTCACCTTATCCATGTAAACATGTGCCAGGAGATTATTAAAACCCAGCACACGACAGTGACTCCCAACCTTCAGAATTTGTCTAGATGACATCTTGTTTGTTCACATTGAGGGACTATTCATCATCCTTCTACCACCCACTTCTGGTGACCCTTACCCTTTTTAGTTCAGCATCTCAACTCCCAATATATCCCTGTATCTCCTGACAATACAGGTAAGACCTATATTTCTAACTCAGCTACATCCTTCTTCCTCCCAGTTCTTTTATTTATCCTCTTGTCCCAAGACATTGCAGCCTTTAATCTGGCAGCATGGGATCTTTGCCAGCTAGGCTCCCTTTCCTGCATCTCTGCTAGAAAAGGAAGACAATGTAGTCCTGGAATGTGGTTGGTTTCTGGGATGTCCACTTGGGGGCAGTGAATGATAGAGTCATAAAGCTCTATACTGTGTCTTGGCAAGCTCTACAAGAATGTAGAATGAGACCTCCAGCTCTTAGTTACTGTCCACTTGGCAGTTAAGACCAAAGCTACTGGATCTATAGTCCTAACAGCTTCACCACCTTATGCATCAGATGGAATGTGAATGGAAGTGAATTGCACTAGAGTTCCAATTCCCCAAAGAACTCTATGCACAATATAACTCAAGTGACCTCTTCCTGTACCCCTTCTACCCCAGTTTCAGCCTTTTCAGGTAGATACCTGCATGGAAAGGAGGCCTGGATTCCAAGTCAGCTGCATTACCTCACCAGCAAGGATGATCCTGCCTTCATCCAGGGAGAGCATGTCCCTGTTGCGTGCTACTCATATGCATTCCATGCTGGCACTTGCAGAACAGGAACATCACTACATGGAATCAACAGGCCATTAGCAAATAGCCCAGATCATTCTCTTAATTCATCTACAACCCATAAGGCACAGAGCCTCTCCATCAAAAAATTGTTCAGCTGGCCACCAGAATAGGAATCCGCTAAGACATACTTTGTCCCTGTGGTACTCCACTCTCATTCTTTAAGGGATAAGATGTGTTCCTGTTGTTCTTACTGAACTGGGAAGATAATATATCACTGGTTCAGTGTCATACAGAAATTATAATTCCATTTTTTACTAGCTCCAACAATTATGACTTCTCTGTGCCTCAGGGTCCTCATTTATAAATTGGAGATAAGACTAGTACCTACCTTATAGAGTTATAAGGATTAAATGTGATGACTGCATTAAAGAGCTTTGCAAAGAGTCTGGCATATAGTAAGTGTTTGCTAAAAGTCACTATGTCCAAGACTGGTTCATACTCAAGGGGTCCTAGACAACCTCTCTAACTCCCTGTCCAGCTGAAGTTAGGCCTGGTATCACCACCCACGACACTTACACTTCCCTTTTTTCCATATGCCACTTCTGGCTGAGAGTACACTACTCACTGTTGCCCTTAAAATTCACATCTTTTGCTTTGTCAGTTTTTCTGCCAGCCTCTCAGTACCTCCTACTCTACCCTCTAATATCACAGAGAATTCCATTTCTAGGCAAAGCCCCCGTTCAGCTGGCCCCTCATGCTGCTAGGAAACAACTCATAACCATAATGCAAATACAAATACTGTCTGAGACAAAGACTTCCCTAATTGATAATGGTGACTTTGAGGTACCCCTGAATACCCAGAACTTGTCCTACTACCAAAAGAGCAGATGCTCTCTGAATCTAAATCAAGACCTATAAAGCAAAGCTTTTAGACAGCATCTTGGAGCAGTTTTCATCAGATCCTCCATCTCCTCACATTAGCCTTGATACTTTCTAAAAATAAAATTCAGGGAGTTCTTCCTTATCAAGACTATCCCATCCTTAGTGTAGTGATTATCTGAATTCCTTTCTCCTGATCAAAAGAACCTCCAAAACCAATTCTATAAGGCTCTGGCCTTCACAGAAGATTCCTATACAGCACTCCTGCCTCTATCCAGTGAATGAGATCTTGACCCCCACAAACACCAGAAAGTAAAATTACCTGGGAAATATTTTCATACATTCACATACTGTGATGATAGATTCTGTGGGCTAGATGGTAATTGAGTGATTACATTAGCATCAACTCTAGGCCAAGCCCCCAAATATGAAAATGATGCATTTGCACTATATTCTATTCTGCCAGAGTTTACATAGTGCTGTATAAGTCATAAGGCTTTCTGAAATGAATTCCCCTAGGATGATTAAAGTTATCAGCAGTCATCTACCACATCTGCATCTTCACTACCCCAGTATCCATTCTTCTTAAGAGAAAGGAATTTGGTTCCCAGACACAAAAATGACCTTCTAGTAGGTTAGGGCTTTGTTTACCCCAGCTCTGGCCTGTACCCTTGAATAGGGTCATCACCTTGCAAATGTAGGATGGGGGTGGGAGTATTGTCCTATTGCAGGAGGACCTAGGCACTTTGATCACCGTCCTTGCACCAATTCCCCTGGAAGTTGATCCTAACCAAGGTCAATTACCCCAAGAGGGAATAAGCATTCTTAGTGATCAAGGCCACTTTTAAGATAGTGAGACACTTCCTTTAAGAAAGACCGGCAGCTTGTGATCATGAGCTCAAACCATTGTAGCCTAAAGCAGCCTGGGAAGACTTGCAGAACTCAGAATACCAAGGGGGGAGTGGAAGTGGTAGCAGCCTGAGAATGTCACAACCATTTACCCCCAGCCATAGCATGGAGAGCAGGCAGATGTTGTAGGACATAAAGATCCAAGTCCATTAGAGGGCAGCCCATAGGCTTATGTTCGAAGATGCACCATGCTATTAGAATTGGGGGTTGTCTGTGCCCATGGGTACCATTGCAGCAGGCCAACACATCCTATTCAAACTTTGCATGTAATCTAGCTTTGCGCAATGGCAGTATCATAGCCAATGAGGTTTATCCAAGGCACGATTATTGCTAATTCAAACTTTGCATGTAATCTGATGGAGCATGTTTCATAATGTGGCCTGCAGATTACCTGCATCTTTAAAAAAAAATTATTTATTTATTTTTAGTTATAGAGGGACACAATATCTTTATTTTGTTTATTTTATGTGGTACTGAGGATCGAACCCAGTGCCTCACGTGTGCAAGGCAAGTGCTTTGCCACTGAGCCACAACCCAGCCCCAACTATCTGCATCTTAATCCTAAAGTGAAGATTTCTAAATCAGACCCTCTAGGGATATAGCCTAAGCATATTTATTTCTAACTCGTGCCTCCTAAGTGATTCCAGTACACAGCTAGTTCATGCTCCTGGTCTAAAGGGCCTTCTGTTTGCCCCACATCTGATATAACCTCTAAGGTCCCTCTATTTTTCCTACAATTGAAGCAAAGACAGTCCAAGATAACCTTCAGACCCTTGAGACATTGTCCCAATGAACTTCCTTGCAGATTTTCTGTCCTTCTACATCTATAACACCTTCAAACTGGTGGTGGATCCCTCTTACCCTATTAACCCATCAACTGCTGTCTTCTTCATCTTGAAGATTTAACCCTTTCAAAAGTGCCACAGCCATCTACTCTGCAGCCATCACCACATGGATTAGCCAGGTATGGGGGGGGGGGTGCAGTGCTATTGCTGCTCCAATGTATGACCTGACTGGTTAAACTCCTCAGGATTCATTTATAACAACTTGCTACATCCTTCCTCCCAGACCTCACCCCTTTATGGTATCTTGTCTTTGCCAGACCACTATTGCCCCAGCTAGTTGCTGGAACCATCAACACCCTAGAATCTGTTCAATACTTGGGCCACCCAAATCTGGACTTCCCCGGGAGCACATCCACTTAGCTTTCATCATGTAATAACATAGGGGTGAAGAGTGAGGACTCTGAAGCCACACTGCCTGAGTGTAAATCCCAGCACCATCACTTTGTAACTATATGACCTTGAAGAACTTATTTAAACTTTATTTTCCTCAATTCATCACCTATAAAATGGGGATAATAATAGTACCTACCTCATAAAGCAGTTGGGAGTATTGTAAGAACTGCTAATGAGCTAAACACATAGAATAGTGCCTGGCACATACTAAGCACCAAAAGTGTCTGCTGTTAAGTTGTATATTATTTATAACTGGATTATTCAGGTATGTGATACCAGTTAGATTGCCATTTGGCCCAGATCCATTTGCTCAGACCAAAAATTGGAGAACTCTTACCTAGAAACCTTTGAAGTGAAATTCAGCTGTCCACCCACAGACATCCTACCTCAGAAGCTCCTTGAACTTCATGCCCTTCCTTCTCCATGATCACTCATTCAATCTTTCACTGCCCCCTGGCATGCTTCAGCTACCTTGTATCCTGCATTTAGCCCCAGTAACTTAAGACTGAGAGACCAGTTGTTTCTTAAAAGAAGTGCTGGATTTCCAGCAACATGTGGTTCTCCTGTTGTCTGATTCCCTGGCATAGTTGTTCACCAAGAGCTAGTTTGATGGACTACCCAATGGGACATTGATCTGGTAATCCTATTAGAGGTATATTTACTCTGTTCAACCTCAGCATTGTCATAATTTCGGTGTAAAACTAGGAATGAATTATATTCTTTAGTTCCTGCCCCCTATCTTCACCCCAGAGCAGCTAGACTACTATGGTCATTCTCACTAAGAAAGGAAAAATATCAGAATGCTGTACCCAATGACTAGGAAAGAAATCATGAAAGTATAAATAAAGGTAGTGACAGCAGATGTAGAAAAAAGAAAAAATAACATGGAAGAGTGATCTGGGAGGTATCATTGGCAGAAGTTAGTGATTAATTGGTATGGAGAGTAAAGAGAAGGGAAATGTCAAAAATGTAGTTTCTTGCCTACACAGGTAGAAAATGTTTCCAGCTAAGATGGAATATGTCACAAAACATATAGAACCAGGTGTGGTGACATATGTCCATAATCCCAGGGACTCTGGAGGCTGAGGCAGGAGGATTGGAGATCCAGTCCCAAAATAAATAAATAAATAAATAAATAGAATGAATAAATAAATAAAGTAGGACTGAAGATGTAGCTCTATGGTAAAGTGCCAATTCTTTGTACTAAAAATAAGTTTTATATATATACTAAAGGATTCGAGAGAAATACAAGTGGTTAAATGAATAGATACGAAAAAGTGTCAGAGAGCATATTGGTTGGTGGTTGTCTCACTGACATCTTGATCTTAATATGTCCTAAACCAAACTACCCCATTCTTCTAATTGATCAAGTCAAACATATTGGAATCATGTTTGACACTTTTCACTCATGCCTCACATTTAGTCCGTTTTAAAACACCATTCATTCCATATTCAAAATATATCCATAATCTGTCATGCCTCACTGTCTCCAGCACCACAACTCGAATCTGAAACACTATCATATCTCTCTCTTGGATTATCACAACAGCCTCCCAGCTAGTGTTCTTGTTTCTAGCCTTGTCCATCTTTGGTCTGTTCTCCACTCAGTAATCAGTGATTCTTTTAAAATACTAGATGTGCTCAAACACTATATAGAGCTCAAAACACTATATGTGCTTCCTGTTTCACTTAGAGTAAAAGCCAAGGTCCTATACAATATCCTCTTTTCTCCTCTCTGCAAGTAAAAATATTATTCTCTTCATTTCCTCACTATTCTCTAGCCACTGGATTCCTTGTGTCCCTTGAACCTACCAGGTAGTTTCTTACCTCTATGCCTATGCCTTGCTATTCCCACTGACTGAAATGTTTTTCTCCCCAAGAGAATTCCCTTCACCTCCTTCAAGTCTTTGCTCAAGTAACACTTTCTCAGTGAGATCTTCTCTGACCACATTTTAAAATTTAGCCCCAAAATAGTATCACATTGCCCTTTCAGTTTTACTGTTCTCCATATCATTGACAATCTGAAAAATTACTGAATTTATTTGTCAATTATATTTATTTTCTGTCTTACCCCACCACATACACACATACTAGAACATAAGCTTCATAGAGGTAGGGATTATTGTTTGTTTTATTCATTACTACAGCTTCACTACCTATAACTTTACCTGACACATACTTAATCTTCAAAAAAAACATGTGGGAGATGAACAAGTGTGAAAGTTGTTGGAACGGAGACATAAGAGTGGAAAATATTGGTTTCCAATCCTTTGGGGGTTACCAGTCTCATGATCTTACAGTTGAGTTATTGAATGTCAAAATATTGGGGAAATAATGAATCATTTGAAATTAGCAAGATTAGTTCATGCCTTCTCAAGGTAGGCTTTCAGTAAGTATTTGACTGACTCAATGGTAATATCTTAACGTACTATCAAATTATCAGAACCAGGAAAAAAGAGATTGACTTATTGATTACACAGAAATTAGAGTGGTACTAAGTCAGATAAGCAGTAGGTAGGTCCCAGCATATTGAACATTAATAGACTGTGGGCTCTTGTATAAGCCTTGCATCTTAACCAAGAAACCACTAGAGGGAGCTCAAGGTTAAATCAAGAATGTTCTCTACTTAATGAAATTCTATTAACGTCATTCACATTTCTATTTATTGATCTGGTGTTCATCTAAACTGTCTCATCAGTTCAGAGTGTTCTCCTGAGCTAATTTCTTTTATCAGCCCAGTATCTGCCTCATGAAGTCTTCAATAAATATTTATAATTCGAATGGAAACCACAAATGTTAAAATCAACAGATTTTCACCTTGAAATCTGTTTTACTAATTAACTATGGTCAGTATTTCCCTTGAGAAACCATCCTTCAGTGTTCATAACCTAGCTGATATATAACACTCATGATCCTTGGTATTTAAAGAATCTTAAGGCAAGAGGAGACTTGGATTTAGAGTTTGTGTGCTTTATTTGTGTAAATGATAGCATCAAACAACCCGGTATATTGTGGTGCCTGAGCTAGAAGTCCCTAAAGCCTGGGGCTGGACTCTGCCCCACACCAGCTCCTCCTCCCTCCCTCAGGAGGGGCTTCCAACTGATAAAGAATGTGGCTCCCCTGGGCTTGCTTGACCCCATGGAATTGTTAAACTCTACTTTGCACATGGAGATTTCGCTGCTTGAGAAACCCCCACTGCTTACAATGTGCTTTGGAGCTGTAGGGTTGTTTGGGATGAGGAAAGTTAAACAGACTTTGCTTTATTATCTTAAAAATACATTGTCCCCATTGAAATTCTCTGAAGGAACTTCAGTTTCTGGATTTTCAGCTTTCTGAGCTGGATTCCTGAGGGGTGTGGAGTCCTTGACCTGTTGTCATCTAATGGCTGATGCCTCTGACTGCCCTTCAACTGGGCCCTCAGTATTAGGAATTTTTCGTTAGTGGAATAATATCAAGTGATCTAAAAAATATATAACTTTTTAAATTGCATAAGATTTATTAAAACACATAGATATACAGAAAAATTGAGCAGATAGTACAGAGTTTCCATATGCTCTGCAATTTCCTCTACTGTTCGTACCATACATGGGCATGATACATTTGTCATAATTAAGGAAGCAATATTGATACGGTATTACCTACAGTCCATAGTTTATTCAGATTTCCTTAGGATAATAATTTCCTCCTGGTACTGGCGATTGAACCCAGGGACACTCTACTACTGAGCTATTTATTTTATTTTATATATATATATTTTTTTATTTCAAGACAGGGTCTTGCTAAGTTGCTGAGGCTGTCCTCATACTTTTGATCCTCCTGCTTCGGCTTCCTGAGTTGCTGGGAAGATTTCCTTAGTTTTTATATAATGTCCTTTTTCTGTCCCAGGATCCCATCCCAGGGTACAACATTACATTTAGTCATCTCCTTAGGATCCTCTTGGTAGTTAGTTTCTCAGACCTTTTTCATTTTTGATGACCTTTGTAATTTTAAAAGTACTGGTCATAATACTTAGCTTTATGTATTTTTTTAGTTGATTTAATAGAATCTTTCAAGTAGCCTGAAAAATACAACCCATTTTGATTGTGCTTTCCAGCTCTTATTTTTATTTTTAAAATAGTTTTTCTTCTGAACTCACCAGCATCTATTTTCATAAATCTGAACACTTCCTGAAG